TATAGACTTAAGAACTAAGTAAAGTAAAAAGTAAAAAAAAAAAAAGAAAAAAAAAGAAAAAAGAAAAAAAATTAATAGAAAAGAAAAAAAGGAAGAGAAAAAGAAGAAAAGATGCTAAATTACGTGAAAAGTGTATTCGGAAATAAAAACCGACTCCGTGTGCACATTTGACCGTGTAACATTTGAATAGGTCACATCGCGTTTTCGCAATCATGATACTATTAATCAACACTCAGTATTGAAACATAAAAATCTAGTGTTGTTAAATAACTCTACTAATAATCGTAAATCAAAAACTCAATTTCCTCAAGTAAATAGAAAGGAACATCATTGGGAACACCTTTGAATCAGAATTTCCTACAGCTGCCACTTACCATTGTTACGATTAACAACGGAAATCCATTTTCCTTGTACCGCATCGAATTGCATCTCAGTTATGTCGCGTTCGTTTCGGTTTTCAGTATTTGTGTCCAATAGCGTATCAAAGTAACGAGAAAATGTTACGTCAAGATAAAGTAACAAAGTATCGGATAACCAACATTTTTACTTTAATTTCAATTATGGAATATTCATGAAAAGAATTCGTTGAATAATTTCTCTCCATTCGCCGATGTGAGTCTATTAAGCTAAACTAAATAAACTCGATATCGAAACGACATCGGAATGATAATCACATACTGGAAGTACCGAATTATTTCTAAGTACTGAGCGACATATCTAGATGAAAACCTATCCAGAGCGATAATTGACGTACGCGAACCGCGATTATCCAGCCTAATATTGAATCGTTAAATGTTAACGAGTGACTAAGGTATACCGTGCGGTACATCCGAAGCACTGCCACATAAGTTAGGAGCTTGGTATAAAAATGAGGCACAGTTTCACAATCAGGGAATCCTTCTTACCAAATGCTATCCTCTATCTCCCAATGAATGTATCCGTATATCAAACATGACAGTGTAATTACCATCATTAAACTAAACCATGCATGGATATTAATATGTATCCTTAAATGTGTTTAAGGAGAATGACGATTTCTTAAACAACTGTCGTATTCTTATCGGTAGCAAACAGTCTTAACAACGAGCGTAGACTAATCATGTCGCGTTCCATAATCGTGTAGTCCTTGCGTCGGTATGCGTCATGTTACGTGCTGGGAGTTGATAGCTCATCAGGTGTAACGTGGCAACGTTGGTAGCGATTGATGACAACGTAACGGTCGCTTAGCCACTGGTACCATTAACCAGAGCTTCTTTAGGCTTATTGCTCTGCTGCATACGAGGAGGACGAGACCGATGTTCTCTTTGGCCCTTAGGTCCTTGCGAACTGTTGTTAGACACGGAAACGTCGTTCGCGGGTGTTCCTTCCTTGCTGTTCATTGTTGATTGGTCGCATGGGCCGGCATTACTGCCTAAACAAATGTATAGATTAACTCTGAATGTTTTCGTATACAAGTATGCGCGCGAGCCTATCGATCACGTACTGGAAAACGGGCGTAATCTGCTTCTTCGTACAACCGATCGTCCTAAAGAGAATTTCACGCGAATCTAATATTAAATATACCAAGATTGGCCTACCTGTCTGGCCAGCATTCGTCGGCGTTGAACTTCGTTGTCGCGAGCGTCGAAGTCGCCTTCGTCTTATTCCTCTAGGTCCTCCCTCCACACTCGATACCGATTCTATACACATACAAACCATTGTGACCATCTATCACAGATTCGCAACTTCACGGTTACAATTTAGACTTTACCACAGATAGCGAAAGCTGCACTGCGTACGTTAGTAGCGTGTTAACAAGTATATATATATATGTATATATATTATATATATCCAGATATATATATATATATATATATATATATGTATACATCTGGGATATTCTAATATTTAAAATATAAGTGTATTAAGGTAGTAAGGAGTATTAGGAGTATTAGGAGTATAAGGAGTATTATTCTCTTATGTATTCTAAAAGCTACCTCTTATGTATCTCCTTATAAAACAGTTGCATATTCTATTATCTTTTATGATCGTCCATGATTACGATATTTAAAATAATGAATATAAAATACACGAACAATTCGTTAAATGTTTTGTATTATTACAATGCATAATAATGCAGTAATATCAATTTTATTACAATTACCGCATTGAATAATTAGTGATAAGAAAATTATACTACATTTAACACAAAAATTTTTAATAAAAAATTATACGTTTTTAAAAGGTGAAGTAGAGGAAATATTTAGATTTGAAATATCCTATTCAAAACAAACGTTTATTAATAAAAAATGTTTTATATTTAAATCTTTTAGTGTTTTAAATCTAGATATAAAACGTTTAAAACTAACATATCTAAAGTGTTTAAGAAAATATAGATGAGAAATAAGATACTTTAATGTTTTAAAATTAAATATTTTTTCTATAAGTAATTTTATTTCATTCATCGTCACTATCCAAAATTTCACGATTTCCAAGACCAATTTAAAATTTAAGTTTAATAATTGTATTTATTTACAAAGTCGCAATTCTGAAAAACATAAAAGATTTAATATTTTATATTTATCCTTTTTTTGAAAACATTTTGCCAATATAAGTAATTTCTATTACTTTTACTATCTCGCTTATCGACGAATTCGATATTATTTAATAATTATCTATCGAGAGTTTGGTTTGAAAAGAAGATCGTGTCAATGAGAGAGAGAAAATGACTTTTCTCTCTCTCTTTTCAATAGTTTTGAAAAATAAATTTAATTATACCTATTTTCAATTTACGAGCGTAATACAAATTTTGATATAGAAAATAGTGGTTAATTGATAGTAATTACTTTAAAAAACAATAAATGGAATATTATAATACCAAGAACGGAATATTAAAATAATATTTTTCAAAGAAATGTTTGCATAATAATTCACATATACCATTTTTTGAAGAAGTGTTTGCACAATAATTTACACATACCGCACGTTTATTATATTTTCAATTATTATATTCCTATTATGACTTATTTATAAGCAAATTTTTATTTCAGAAAAGAAAAATTGTTTTTTATTATTTTTTCTAAATAATTAACTTTAACCACCGTTGGCTCAAAAAGTAGTCAGTGAATAGAATTTGACGTATAATTTGGTTGGAAAGATCCTAAATAAAAGTATTCGATAAAATTGTTCTCGTTTGAAATTCGCTCGTGGACGTTTAAGTGTGAAAAATTCGCACGTCTCTCTCTCTTTTCAAAATATTTCGAGTGATTGAAAAGCGAAGTAACGTTTCTGTAGCAATGACGTCGAGGGTTCTCGACCCGCCACGTGGGACGTCCGCCTTCTTCCGTTCTTCACTTGCACTCTGGGTCACGCACAACGCGCGCATACACGACCCACCGGAGTTCGACACTCGAGAGCCCTGGAAGTAATTCGGTGTCACGCCAAGCTGCGGTTTTACATCGAAACTGGAGTGTCCCATTGATACACTTTGGCCATCATTATGCCGCGCAACGAACATCCTTCTATCTTCTATCGATACGCGCAATTCTGTGTACTTTGTAATTTCGCTAAAGTGTCGCAATATTAACACTACTTTCTACTTTGTACATCACACATTTTGTATCTCATTATTTTAGAAAAGCAATAAATATTCGGAAAATACTATTACACACTACATAGATATTATTACATAACTATTTCATTTTGTTATAATAAAAAAATTGTGTTTCTATGTATATTTTAATAAAATATAAGATGTTGTAAGGCTTTTAACATTAATATTGATGTTAATAATGTTTCGGAAATCAAATAAAAAAAGTTTTTTTAACATAAAACGAAATTAATTAAAATATCATATTTTTACTATAGCTCGCAATCATTTTTTATTCTTGTAAAATTTGTAGTAATATATCGAATTATTTACACTCCATTTTTCATACGCCCTCATAATCGATCGTTATCAGTCATATTCATATCAGAATGCGTGCGTATGTATCTGAGTGTCTATATCGCGTTGTAGAAAACTGGCGGCAAATCGTTATTCAAATCCTCGGGTAAATTGGGGGTAAACCGAGCAATATGTAGCGTTTAGCCGGCATTATTCGCGACCCTTGATCGCGTCGGGGGTGCCGACACCGAGGATGGAACAACTTCCCTCGCGGCAGGGTGCCTCTTTCTCTTTCTCACCACAATGATCGGTACTGAGCGGGCACAATAAGAGATCCAGCGGGATATGAAGCACCCTACGTGTGCATTTAACGCGGCCGGCCACCCCCTTAGCTGTCTGTCTCCCTCCCTTTTTCGCGATGGTACCATTTCCAGGAGGGGTGCTAAGCCTCGCTGTCGCTCAGGATTACCGGCTCTGATTTGCTCGTCGAATATCACGACGAGGTCGCGTCGCTTCTACATCCGGGACCCCCAAAACTGCCATGGCCCCCGAGGCAGCACGCGATCTCGAACTCCCTCGTCTCAGAGATCGCTAAGCTGAACAATTGTTTTCGTCAAAATGAACGATCGTAATTTTCTTCATTCACTCGGTGATTGTGCAAAAAAAATTCAAATCAAAAAAGATAAATTTCGATAACAATCGATACAACGGCCTGTTCAATTGTCATTTTATATTTATACAAAAACATAATAAATTGATCAAAATATTGGATACGATTATTCATTCCCAATTTTTCATATATTCCTTAATCAAATTTAATTCTTTCAATTTTTAATATAACCTATTTTGTATACTTAATTTTGTCTACAGTTTCTTAACGTCTAATTTTCAATTTTCTTGCAATAATGGCTACATCAAGAAATATTACCGCAAAATTATCACAGTCAATCTGTATATCCGAAACTCCGGAAAGTTGCCAACAGTATTTACACGCTTTTAAAAAGACATCTTTGCCTGGACTCCGCCTGGCTCGGTCTTTCCTTCTCGCGTTATTCACGACAGCCGGAAAGAGGGTGCACCGAGAAAAGTACGAGGGAAAGACAGGAAAAGAACGCCGCCTGTCGTTCTGGAGGTGAAAGCGAGTCGGTGAAAATGGTTGGAGAATCCGAGAGCAAGAAGGAAATTAAAATTCATGAACGCTTCGAACGGCGCGTCGAATTAAAATTCATGGCGGAATTATCGCCGACTCCTCGAAAACAAAGGCGCGCGATTCGAGATTTTAGATAGGCACACTCGCAAGTCATTCACGAGAAGAGTTTTGCGGTTGTGAACTAACTTTCTTTCAATCTATTGATCCATTCAACATTCATAACTTTCCATTCATAGTTTACATAATATAATTTCTTATTTTCTTTTAATATTATCTGGATTCAATTTTGTCCGTTCCTCTTCCTCTCGTTTTTAACATTCCTACATAGAGATGTTTTATCATTTCGAAAATTCTTTCTTTGCCCACTCGATCCCCGTGAACAACGACTCGGCTTGATCCTTGAATGACCTATCAGACGAGGATTGCTGTCTTGCGCACGAGAATGCGAGGCTCTTTGGTCCAGAGGCCACTTCATTACCATCCGAAAACCGGTTAGCTCGATCTATGGCGTGGCCTACGGTATCTCGCTACTGCTATCGCCGGGGAACAGCTCAAAGTGCTTCCGTCTGTCATGTTCACCGTTAATTAAGTGCCATTGCTTAACTTACCATTGTCTTCATTTTTATTTAGATTTGTTACTGAATGTATTATCATATTAAACGTATCTTTTCTTCAAGCCAAAATTACAAATATGTAATAATTTCATAAAGTTTTCTCTTAATACAGAATATAGATTTCAGAACTTTAATTTTAATAACAAAAAAATTTCGACAAATAAATATAAATGATAAACATGTAAAGATTAAATAGTTGAAGCTAAAAAGATTTCAATTTTTGATTTTGATTTTATTGAACTTAATAGGATTGATATTATTACGTTCTCTCTCCTCTCCCTCCCCCTCTCTCTCTCTCTCTCTCTCTCTCTCTCTCTTTCTTTCTACGAGACAAATCTTTTTTGGGCTACTTTAAGAAGGCTCTCTTCCGCACCAACCGAAAGAGAGCACTTTCCATTTTCCGCAATTGCAATTATAATTAAGGGAGTATATATGCTCGCTGATTATACTGCTGTAAAACAGCGTGAACCGCTTTCGAGGACCGATGAGATCAGAACTCGTGCACTCAAAGTATTCGTGAAATCTCGCGGACAGGTATGAGATGGGAAGCCATGAGAGGTCGAGTGTCGTTCAACGAAGAGAACGGCGTTACTCTCCGCCTCTTTTTCTACGTACGTGCCCAGCGTTGGATCTTAGATAAATAATAAATATTGGCGGAATCTCGAGTAAAATAATCATCGCTATCTCGAGATGTACCTACTAGACTACTCTGATACGTCCGCGTATAGGAGAAAATAGATCTGTGTACACTTACGGTTGACACGTATGTTGTCTTATTTATCATTATACAACCATAAGAGTGTGCTTATTTGATGAATTAGTTTCATTTGCAGAAAGTCAGACATCATATAGAGTCAACTGTCATGTAAATATAAATTGTCAAGATAACATTGTTATGAGGAATTAAACGCAACGCATAAAATAATCAATATCTTTTTACAAGTAAATTTAATATGTAATTCTTATATATGTTTAAAATTATAGCACAAGACCAGCCAAGATATAATAAATATTATTTTAGGCATTGGTATGCATCGGAAGATAATTCTGCGAGGATAAAAATCTGTCGAAAGTCTCACAAGACGAAAATACCTTTTGAGGATTAAAACGAGGCGAACGATCGAACGGACACAACGTCCGAGTTTTTAGCCGGTCTACCATACGATTTTACT